CACAAAACCGAATTTCGTAGAGAGAATGGGACCACAAAAACCGAATTTCATAAGAGAATGTGACCACAAAAACCGAATTTTATAGAGAGTATGGGACCACAAAAACCGAATTTCATAGAGAGTATTGGACCATAAAAACCGAATTTCTTAGAGAGAAAGGGACCACAAAATCCAAATTTCATAGAGAGAATGGGACCACAAAAGCAGAATTTCATAGAGAGTATGGGACCACAAAAACCGAATTCTATGGAGAGAATTTCACCAAAAAACCGAATTTTATAGAGAGAATGGGACCGCAAAAGCCGAATTTTATAGAGAGAANAATTTTATAGAGAGAATGGGACCACAAAAACCGAATTTCTTAGAGAGAATGGGACCACAAAATCCAAATTTCATAGAGAGTATGGGACAACAAAAACCGAATTCTATGGAGAGAATTTCACCAAAAAACCGAATTTTATAGAGAGAATGGGACCTCAAAAGCCGATTTTTATAGAGAGAATGGGACGACAAAAACCGAATTTCTTAGAGAGAATGGGACCACAAAAACCGAATTTCATAGAGAGAATGGGACCACAAAAAACCAAATTTCGTAGAGAGTATGGGACCACAAAATCCAAATTTCATAGAGAGAATGGGACCACAAAAAACCAAATTTCATAGAGAGTATGGGACCACAAAAACCGAATTCTATGGAGAGAATGGGACGACAGAAACCAAATTTTATAGAGAGAATGGGACCACAAAAGCCGAATTTCATAGAGAGAATGGGACCACAAAAAACCAAATTTCGTAGAGAGTATGGGACCACAAAAACCGAATTCTATGGAGAGAATTTCACTAAAAAACCGAATTTTATAGAGAGAATGGGACCGCAAAAACCGAATTTCATAGGGAGAATGGGACCACAAAATCCGAATTTCATAGAGAGTATGGGACCACAAAAACCGAATTTCATAGAGAGAATGGGACCACAAAAAACCAAATTTCATAGAGAGTATGGGACCAGAAAAACCGAATTCTATGGAGAGAATTTCACNGAGAATGGGACCACAAAAACCGAATTTCATAGAGAGAATGGGACCACAAAAAACCAAATTTCGTAGAGAGTATGGGACCACAAAAACCGAATTCTATGGAGAGAATTTCAACAAAAAACCGAATTTTATAGAGAGAATGGGACCGCAAATACCAAATTTTATAGAGAGAATGGGACCACAAAAACCGAATTTCATAGGGAGAATGGGACCACAAAAACCGAATTTCATAGAGAGAATGGGACCACAAAAACCGAATTTTATAGAGAGAATGGGACCACAAAAACCGAATTCTATGGAGAGAATGGGACCACAGAAACCAAATTTTATAGAGAGAATGGGACCACAAAAGCCGAATTTCATAGAGAGTATGGGACCACAAAAGCCGAATTTCGTAGGGAGAATGGGACCACAGAAACCGAATTTCATAGAGAGAATGGGACCACAAAAACCGAATTTCATAGAGAGAATGGGACCCCAAAAACCGAATTTCATAGAGAGAATGTGACCACAAAAACCGAATTTCATAGAGAGAATGGGACCGCAAATACCAAATTTTATAGAGAGAATGGGACCACAAACACCGAATTTTATAGAGAGAATGGGACCACAAAAGCCGAATTTTATAGAGAGAATGGGACCACAAAAACCGAATTTCTTAGAGAGAATGGGACCACAAAATCCAAATTTCATAGAGAGTATGGGACAACAAAAACCGAATTCTATGGAGAGAATTTCACCAAAAAACCGAATTTTATAGAGAGAATGGGACCAAAGAAA